GGGGGGAAAGGTGTCAATTGATAAGAGTTTGTTTCGGGTTCGAATTCGAAGGCCACTTACATGTCCGAGAAGGAGCGGCTGCAGCCGCGCAGGACGCACACGTAGGGATTGACGCCGTGCTCCTCGAGCATGTGCTGATCGAGCTCCGCCTTGAAGTCGCAGATCACCTCGCAGCCGTCCACCGGGCAGCGAATGCCGAAGCGGATGTAGTTGCTGCTCTCGTTGCTCGAGTCGGTGGTGGTGTTGATCGTCATCTTGGGAATCTTCCGCTTGCGATTGTAGAGGCCGGGCAGGGTTCGCTGCAGGGGCTGCAGTTGATGCTGCTGCTGCGGTTGCTGCTGCTGATGGTTGAAGAGTTGCAGTTGACCACCACCACTTCCACCAAGACCATTTGCTCTGACAACGGCCGACTTCATGACCGATGAGTTTTCGTACATGGCAGCATCAGACAACTCGGCCTCATCATCATCACCATCGTCGTCAAATTGTTCATCGTTGTTGTCGGCTGTCACCAAAGTCACTACGGGGGACAGGACAGCCATCGAGTTTTCATCACCACCATCCTCCTCCTCCTCTTCGTCTTCTTCTTCGTCGCCCTCTCCTAAATCATCGTCATCACCTCCAAGATCATCTCCTTCCTCCAAGTTAATCAGCTCCCGAGGGCCACTGTTTGGAGCGACCACTCTAATGCGTGTTTTGCAGTTGGCAATTGGGCGATTAATTTGGGTCGGCGTGGTGGCGGCCGTGGTAATTGGCGTAGCACCAGTAGTTCCATTCACCACTACAAAAGTGGCATTTGTTTTGGTTGTTGGTGTTGCAGCATTAGCATTTCCATTCGGAGCATTGGCTGGTGTGGTTTTTGTTGTTGTTGTTGAAGCACTAGCATTAGCAGCATTAGCATTTCCATTTGAAGCATTTGCTGGTGTTGTTGTTGATGTTGTTGTTGAAGCATTAGCATTAGCAGCATTAGCATTAGCAGCATTAGCAGCATTAGCAGCATTGACATTCTTCTCAGTCGCCTGTTTCTTGTTGTTGTTATTGTTCGACGACTCNGCAGCATTAGCAGCATTGACATTCTTCTCAGTCGCCTGTTTCTTGTTGTTGTTATTGTTCGACGACTCCTCACTGGGCAATTCATCCTCTGAATCATCTTCGCTGTCGTCACTGTGCACCTTGTACTCTACCGTGAGCTTGTTCAACGCCTTAGTGATAATGTGTCCATAGGTGGCCTCCATATTGACGGCCATTTTGGTGATGGCGCGGTCGATCAGCCGGTTCATCTCCTCCTTCACCTCCCTCCTCATGATGTTCCTCTGCACCTGCAGCTCAATCCACAGCTCAGTGGACATGTTATTTTTTAGCTGCCTGATCAGCTCCATCTTCAAGTTCGGTTGT